GGCCGAACATGCTGAGCATGTTCGGCCGACCCGAAGCCACACGAAGCAAGCCGATGTACGGCTGATTTCAGCCGATGTACGGCTGAAATTAGCCGTTCCAGCCTGAAGTGAATAGCCGAACAGTGTTCACTTCACTTCAGATCGGTCATTCACTCGGCTGCCCTCGGCAGCTTCGTGAATAGACCCCATAGTTTACCAATCTAGAAGTCTACCAGTTTAAAAGTCATAGTCCAATCATGAGAGCTGGAGCCGGAGCTAGTGCACAAGCAGCTCAAGTGGCTGCTTGAGGGCGCCAATAGGGCAGAAAAAAGGTATAACCCAGCCAGCAGACAAAGGGCCTCAGATAGCTAGAGCAGTGTTATGGCTCCGTCCGCTGTAATGTCAGGACCGCCCCTGACCCCTGTTCTGTGGCTGCTGAAATGTCCCCTCTCTGGATTCTGAATTCCTCCCAGCCAATGTGTGTACTTTCAGAGGATCGTTTTTCATGTGTCTAAACTGTCTCCTGCTCTGAGCTGCAGGTGTCGGGGAAGGGGGGAAGGAGAGAGGGTGTGTGGGTGTGTGTACGTATGTGTGTGTGTCTGTGTGTGTGTGAATGCTGCTCTATACTCAGCAGCAGGGAGATGTGGCAGATCAGTGCAATCTGCCACATCTGCTGCAATCCTCATCTGCCCCTGCTGCATTTCACTACAACTGCCCCTGCTGTGATCCTCCACATCTGCCCTGCTGCGATCCTTCACATTTCCCCCGGCTGCAATCTTCCACATTTGCCCCCGCTAAAACCCTTCACATCTGCCCCTGCTGTGATCCTTCACATCTGCCCTGCTGCAATCCTTTGCATTCTGCCCCTGCTGCGATCCTCCATCTGCCCTTGCTCAGACCCTCCACATCTGCCCGTGCTGAGATCATCTGCCCGAGACATCAGGCTGGTACCTTGGAGCAGAGTGGCAGCACAGGGTATGTAGCAAATGCATATACTATTCTGCATTGTTGTATTATGTATTGCTGGGATTTGTAGTCCTCTATAGCTGATGGTATTCTGCATTGTTGTGTAATGTATTGCTGGAATTTGTAGTCCTCTAAGGCTGATCCCATTCTGCATTGCTCTATAATGTGTTGTGGGGATTTGTAGTCCTCTATAGCTGATGGTAATGCTCTTCAGTGGCAGAACCACCAGGGTCTAAGCAGTTGCAGCTGAGACCGGGCCCTGGCGCTCCACCACTGTTCCAAAATTATTAGTCTGTATTATTTTAGAAAAATTGTCACATAACAGTAAAAAAAGGTATACGTAATTGATATCGGTGAGTACTTGAGGAAAAGTATTGGTCCTTGTCAGTGGTGTATTTAGGTTTGGGGCTGCCCTAGGCAAGACAAAACTCGGGCGCCCCCCCCCCCCCACCCACACAAAATATACCCCCCACAT